ATTACATTAAGCAATAACTCGCTAGACTTTGGGATTGAAGGCTGCACTGTTACCCTCTGCGTAAAGCATCAACATGTAAAAGATATAACAGCTAAGTCAATATTTGCCCCAAATATTGACATCATTGATCTCAAAAGATTTTAATATAAATTAATACAATAATACATTAGAAATTGTGAATTTTGAGGTTCTATATATAAGCATCATCCTTACCTGGATTTTCCAAACCAATTTCCCATGCATGTGACGACAGCTGGCCAGCCAGTAGCCTGAAAGACTCCTCCAAGAATCTTAAATTAGATTTAAAATAATTTTACTCAATATTACTTAGACAAGTAAAGACTACTGGTCTTCCAACCAAAATAACTAACCTGAACCATGAGATAATAAGAATAGGCATGTACTTCCCAAAAGTAGCCCATTCCGAAAGCTGCTGTTGTCAAAGCACACATCAAGCATCCAAGGCCTAAATAAATGCGCAAGTCCATCCGCTCTGCAATGTGACCACTATAAAGTCGTAAATAAGGATGATTGTTAAGAAGTTAAATCACATGAGAAGACAAAAAATCTCACCTGAAAAACATACTTATTGCATATGATAATAGAAAGGCTAGGTCTAAGGTTCCATAAAGGCTATCGTAATTAGGTTGATCTAGGCAGATTAGGAGTATAAATTAATAGATCTACCAAACGGCTTCCAACAGCATTCAGTGGAATTCTCCAAAGGAATAGGTAGATGCTTCTGTATAGCATCTTCGGTGCAATTTAAATGCAACGCTGATTTAACTACACTTATTGGCTTTCGTGATGCGTGAAAGCATATATATATGAAGAAAGTAAATATAAAAATCAGTGCTTTCCCACTAAAAATAACGTCACTAAACACTTTTACCGATTTAAGGTTAATGGACAGCATCTATCACTGATGCACCTAATTCCTGGGGCTAGATGTGCCATGCTCTCTAGGAAGAGACCACCTAATTGGGAGCAGTCGAATCAACGGCACTTCAAGGTTTATTATCTGCAATTAGTATTAGCAGATCTAAACAAAGCTAACGTTTACTGACTAAAAATGTCTTCTTATCTACTTATTTTTTTATCTAGTTGATATATTAATTATTTGACTTAATTTAAATATATGAGTTATATTTTAAATCTTATTTTTAAAGCAAGAATCGATGAACTTGAAAGAATCATTAAATTTATAGAGCGAATACAATTTTAGGCATATTTTTACCTACTGATAGTCTATGGCATATTTATAGAAAGATATATAGTAGCATAAGGATTTTTATATCAGTCAATAAATTGGTATATGGTTTATAAATGTGTTATTCATCAATCTCGTTACTCATGTGAAAACTAAATAGAAAAATTCATCTTCAAACGATGCATTTTACCAAGTATCTTTGCCATTTTATCTAGCAATTAATCTGAAACCTGTTACGCTTATGTATAGTGTAGTTACAAATATTTCGTAATTCAAGTTTGGCCCTTAGATTTATTTGGGAGTTTAGGTGGAAGGGCTTCCTAGATAAGCTTCATCTGGGCCCACAGAAGGCTAATCTTAAGCCTTTGAATGTTTGCTTGTGTAAGTAATTCTTTGACACACTACTTTTACAATAATTAAATGAGCTCAAATCATCCAGTGTCTCTTAGAATACTATCATTTCCCTATATGCATGAAAAAATTTTCTTGACATTATGTTAAACATGGCCGTTATTAATAGACAACAGAGGAAAAGCCTTATTAATGATTCATAGGAGAAATTTTATTAGTGAAAATTTCAAAACATCTTTTTTTCAATCAAAATATGTAGTTAATCGAGTTGAACCATTGTCATATGAGGAACCGGTTTTTTCGCAGAATATATTAGGATAATTTAAAAGTTTAAAAAATTGTGAAAGTGCAATTATATGTAGATTAAAATATGTTAATTGTGATAGTATGCAAAGCGCTCATCAGTAGAAACACTTAAAGCCTCTATGCTCTTTTATCTGCTATAGTTATAAATATAAGGTTTGATTTAAATATTGAATGCGAGTGAGAGAGAGTGATGAGGACCCATTTATAAAAGTTACTTAACTCGTAAGACCAGTGATGCTTTTACCCACGCCTACTTTTGTTAAGCAGAAATATTATGTTCATAAATCTAACCCGACGTATGATTTTGCACAGTTACAGTCGTACCTTTCCTTTAGTCGTTAAACATAATAACCCTAGATTGACCCGTTATGACTGCTGTTTTCGTTACCCGAGTGGCACTCGTACAAGTGTACATCTCATTCTCCTAACCAGAGTTGAGAACGGACTTATGCAATCCTGGTCAGTTTTTTTAATTGGGTTTATAAGTAGGACTTTGAAATTATTAGCAAATAAGTTATATTAGACGTATACACATTATTTAATTTAAGGTGATGAAGAACTGGTATTTGGCGTTTCCTACAATGATATCAGTAGAGCTGAAGCCTCAATTGAATCTTACATTGCCTTGCTTTCCTTAAGAGTATTCTCATCTAGAGTGAACCGCAGTTTGGACCTCGCTTAAGTCTTATCAAAATCTCTGGCTGGATTCGAGTTCGCATAAAGTAATAAGTGTACTTTAACTCAATATAATAAATGAGTATCATGCCTCCATTACATTTCATGGCTTCACTTTCAAGGTATCCTAATCCAAAGTGGAATGCAAATTAACTCAATCCTAGGTCTCATCAGCATCCCCGGCAGGATTTTAATCTGGTTAGTACAGCGTATAGTATTGATTAGCGAATCACTACACCACACTGTCAAAAGTGCCGCTTGCTCACAAGTAAGACGTTCATTTTAAGGTAGGCCAACTCTTTCACATACCAGATGTTTGTAGTGTCATTTTAGCTGAAGCAAACTTGTAATTGGCATTAAAATTAACCACACTGGGAATAATAGTTTTGAATATGTTTCAAAAAGACCAGTTAATCTTGAATAAGATCTGTATTCTCCCTAGGTCGATTAAGATGATGAAGGACTAATAGTTGAATTCCCCCCCCCTTTGGTAAGAAAGGCTACGCAAAATTCACTTGCTTCATAAGGGCTATTTATAGCATTGCAGTAAAATGCAACTATCAGTCAGTCATTCCTCTTTGTGAGCAATGGTGAAGAATGCTTTCATTTGAGTCTAGCTACCCCAAAGCAGCACGCTTTGAAGCATTTGACTTCTTCAAAATATGTAATGAAACGTCAACAATGACATAAGCACAAATGTAATCATCGCTATTAAAGCATGGCATTCCTTTATAATGGTATTATATATAAATAAAGGGATGATGTGGCTGTGGAATCGTCTTTAGAAATTTTGTAGTATATGTGCTTTTGGCAAAATTGAAATCAATAGCAAACAAATAACAAATGGTTCTCATTAGTATTTGGGTAATCACTAAAGCCGTGCTGATATAAATAAAATATTATCTCCAAAGAGTAACATTTAAATAAAACAACAATTAAGGAAGCTTTAACGATAGTTGAGAATTATACAGATTGTGGCGCTAATGTCTCACATTTTCTCTTTATTTATTTTTCACAGTCTGATTATGCGAATTTTTTGCTTCGCAATCAAATTGAACTCAAAGTAGGTCGTAGATAATTTACACTGTATATTAACGGAGAATGAATCTACCCAAAACTGAGGTGCTAGATATAAGCTAAACCTTTGTAAAGAAAAGCCTTGCATGAGATTCTTATCCATGTGAAAATTTCGGTTCAAATTTCTGACTTTGTTAAGACGGTGTATGAAAAATTTTCTAACTTCGTTGATCCTTGTATCTTGAACGAACTTTAAAGTTTTGCCACATTGCAAGATGATTTATGTGCCTTAAGAATATGCTCTTTGTATTGCTTAACCTATAGTCTTCCAATGATGATTAGTCCATATATAGCTTATTTTCAAGTAAGTAATATGAGCAATGTCTATCTTTCCATGTAAATGTGAGCATCGCTTACTCCTTCTGCATCAAACACTAAACTTGATAAAGTTTATTAAGATGTCGATGTTAAATGAACATTAGATATTATACATTCGCTAATCTTGTAAACAGGAAGAACAATTAGCAAGGTCGACTAAACGCTGTATTGGTAGGCCTGACGTCATCCCTTTATTTGGCTTTGAGTTCCATCCTTGATTTAATCTCCTGCATACCCCGAAATGATAATTTTTAGATAAAAATAAAATATGCGGAAAATGCGCCATCCACCCATTGTTATTTAACTTCTTACCTAAGTTTACCCCCATTTGCAACTCGAGATATGCATATCTTGTTGTTCGATGATATTTACTTATAAGCCAAATTGACACCAAAACCAATTCTTCCGCTCTTCTATTCTCCCATCCGTAGCCTGATTTTCCGCTTCGAAAAAAATTGGCTTTAAATATTTCGTGAAATAGTCTCATCGGAAACCGAGGGAGAATAGGATATCGCGGAGTAAAGGCTGTTGGATTCTGCGAAGAAGTCCTTGGCTTACAGTCTTACGGCCCGGATGAAACTGTACTGAGTTTCTGCATGCACCGCCGTGACAGACATTATCAGAGAGAGAAAATATACTTTACGAAAACATGTACTGTGTAAAATAACCCAATAAAATTAAGGTGGTCTTAAACAATCAGACCCTCTTATTGTATACCTAAATTTGTGATCATAATAAGGGATTATATGATCTCGCTGGCCATTTCATGCCTAACACACATTCTTGTAGATGGGGGAGGTAGATGCATGAAAATGGAGAGGTTGTAGAGTCAGCTGTTTCCTTGCTTAAATAGTCAAAATCATGATCCTGCAGCTTTTTTACTTATTGCATATTTTGAATATTCAAGTCCAAGTCATTTGAAGTATGAGAGTCATAATCAGGCTCTGAGTTATTTAATCCTCTTCCCCTTACTCATATCCTTATTCCTGTCTGTTCTTAAGTCTACCTAACATCCACAAATAGTTTGTGCTTAATTTCCAACATTCCTTTCTACTATTCAACCTATTGACGGTATAGAATTGGGCTGACCTCGTTGTCGCAAATTGGTCTTGTTGTCAGGGAGATTATGTAGAACGTGCCTCGTCCGAAATCGTCTGCCATAGTAGTTCTCATGATTCCCAGCATCTGACAGAGAACTTGATACATTCTCAAACGTTTCGCTGACATCTTAGTCAGCATCATCAGTAAGCTTTGCCATTCTCCGCACCAAGCTACGAACTCGTCAAAGAGACAAGTGTAGTCAATCTCTCTACAACCGTTCTGCCTAAAACGACTACACAATCACTCCTCTTTCTGTCTTTGCCTATCTATCTACTCTTTACCCACTTATCCCACTGCCGCTCTATCACAACTTCTCACTTGTTTACATTCCACTCGTCAAAATGTGTGCTCTTTTGTGGCAAACCTAGTGTGGCTTCATCACACTTGCTATTTACCTGACCCCTCTCTTTCGATGGACTTATCCGATTCGAGCCTCCAATCTGGATCCCTTCATTGCCTCGTAGATCCGTTCCTTATCTTTCTGGTTGACCAATTTCACTCGGGTGCAGTCCCTATGTGTATTTCACTCCAAGTTCTCATTTTTAAGGCGCCAAAAGCACGTACACTCCCGCTTCACTGAGCGGAGCGCTTAAGCTCTGATTCCTATTCTTGCAGATATCAGGCCTTCCCTACACGAGTAATCTCCTTGATTAAACCCATGTTATCTGAGCAAACTGTGGACGCTTTTCTCTGGTCGCATGCGGCATCTCAGGTGGATTTATAGTTCATTTTGGTCAGAACGCCTAATTTCTATGACGGTTTGCTTATCCGTCTGCCCAGCTCCCTGACTACCAGGCACCCAAAGTTGTACTGGTTTATTCAAAA